AATTATCCACTAATGACTAAAAATAAAAATAATCTAAAAAAAAAAAAAAAGCTAGCTTGTAATCAAAACCTGTGGAGTTACATCGACTGGGAAACAGAGATGAAGAGAAGAGAAAAAGTACAGAGAAGCTTCATAGATGTAGTGAAAGATGCTGAGACTCAGAGACCCTAAAGGCAGAGGCTGACAGAATATATGAAGAGGTACACACTGTACCTCTCAAATATTCACAATATCATCTGCTAATGTTACATTTTTATTTATAAAGGTGTGTCTTTAATTGAAAACAATTTTGAATCAATACATTCTCTTTTTCCTTGTGAAACTCAAGAACAAAATGGATGCATAATAATATTATATGTAACATTTATTTTCTGTTATGTGGTTTTGATATATAAATACAAATAGAAGATATCCGCCGCACATAGTGGTAGTTTTCAATCCCAGCATTAAAACGGTGATGTGCATTAAGTTTCCACAGCTTGACTGTCTGAAATAAGAAAAGGTCAATGTGCAGCTTTTGTAAACAATAAAAACGTGTAGGAATCTTCTTTCAGCCAGCTGACAGGCAGCGAGAAGGAAAAACAACTTTCTTCTGCCTAAGACAGACACTTGTTTAAATGAACTAATGCAGAGTTCACTCATAGTTTTTTTATGTCTTCAGTGAAGATGAATAGAAAAGTGTGAGTAGATGAAAACATTGATTGTCCTCTCCAGAACGAGAGACCTTAACTTGTTATTTTAAACAGGGCTTTAAAATAACTAGTTTTTAAGCCCTAATTGTGAATTTAGTCCATTCAGATACACTAAATGATTAAAGTAGGTGTAATTAACACTGTTGACAACTTCATGAAGTTTGTACTTTGCATTCATCAGGAATGGGCTCCTGGTCATACCATTAAGTTCAAAGTGCTTTTGAGAGAAAATGTCTGGACAACAGATTTTCCTTCTCGCTGCCTGTCAGCTGGCTGAAAGAAGAGTCCTACACTTTTTTATTGTTTACAAAAGCTGCACATTGACCTTTTCTTATTTCAGACAGTCAAGCTGAGGAAACCTAATGCACACCACCTATTACTTACTAGCATAACACTGTTTTAATGCTCTTATTGAAAACTACCACCATTTGCGGTGGATATCTTCTATTTGTGCTTATATATCAAAACCATATAACAGAAAATAAATGTTACATATAATATAATATAATATAATATAATATAATATAATATAATATAATATGCATCCATTTTGCTGTACTCTGCTTCTGATTTTAATTTTTTTTTCTGTGTTGATTTTGTAAAACCATGAAATAGTGGAATTTCTTAACTCAAAGCCGTGACACTCTGAGTTTCTCATACTGGATTATGTTTAGTATATGTTTACCTTCTGCTAAGACGCTGCTATGTACTTTCTCAGGTGGATGCAGACACGTAGCAGGTGCCATTTCTCACCAAAAAACTCGACTAAAATGAAGCAATCACACCTCAGCTCATTCTCAATGGGGCACACACTGCAGGGTCACACCTCTGTTATTGATTTTATCATTTACTAATTCACGAACATCTGTTTAATACAGAAAATGGTGACTACAGATATTTTTTCTGCCATTGATTTGGCGCCCACTCTAGGGTGGCGCCCCATTTGCAGCAGAAAGTTCTTTTATGGCAGTCTCTGCGTTTCAGTTACAAATGTGCATAAAATTTGGTTGATATTCTGCTAACGGAAAAAAAAAGGGTTTCTGTTTTTAAGTTTGTTCATATGATAAGTAATTAAAAAACATTCGGCAACATGATCCTCCAACTACTGCATGTCATCTTCTTTGTCTTTTTGTCATGACATGATGCGAAAAAGTGTTTCCTTTGCAGCTTTACAAAATACACTAATTATGATACAATCCAAAAGAATTTTGATACATTTGATACATTCTAGTTCAAAAACTTTTTAGCAAAAATTTTTATTTTTTTTTCCCAAAATCTGCATGTTTCCATAAAGCAAATGTATTTCCGTAATTCCTATTTGCAGAATTATACTGTCAATTCAGCTACATCTCGATGCCCTCAGGTAGTTGAAAAGTCTGCTTATACCCTGGATTGATCATGGCAAGAAGTACAATAAAAATCAACAAAATGCTTAAAAAAATATTTTTGAATGATTTCTCTTTATTTTTGCAGAGTTCAACCAGGCCACTCAAGCTTCTATTGGCAACATGTCAGACAAAGGCAGCCAGGATCCGGCCTTTTTCTACCCGGAGTTCAACATGTCCGGCCCGGGCATGGGTCAGTCGAGCGAAGAGGTCGGCACTGAGCCCCTGAGTAAGAAAATGAGGCGTAACCGTTTCAAATGGGGGCCTGCATCTCAGCAAATCCTGTACCAGGCCTACGAGCGGCAGAAGAACCCCAGCAAAGAGGAGAGGGAGGCTCTGGTGGAGGAGTGCAACAGGTAGAAAAACACAACTCTCCGACGAAAGATTCTGCAGTACAGCTTTAACATCTTCTACCTCCTTTCCTGCAGAGCTGAGTGTCTTCAGAGAGGCGTATCCCCTTCTAAAGCTCAGGGACTCGGTTCTAACCTGGTCACCGAAGTGAGAGTTTATAACTGGTTTGCCAACAGACGTAAGGAGGAAGCCTTCAGGCAAAAGCTGGCTATGGACGCCATCACTGCACCTTCGCACGGCATCAACCCACTGCTGTCGCACAGCTCACCACATCATCCCCAGACCAGCGTGTCCCCTCCAAGTAAGAGACGGCCCCGGAGATCAGAAACATCTGCTGAAATGGTCAATGCAAACGATTTTTATATTTCGTGGCAGAGCAATCACAAATGTTTTTAGATGTATTTTATGTGATAGACCAGCACAACCTTGGTCTGTCGTTGTAAAGTGAGGAGAAAAACATGGTTTTCAACCATTTCTGCTAGTAAAAGTAGTCTACACGTGTTCATCCCCCTTTATTCTGATACAGCTAAATGAAATCCAGAGGAATCAAGTCTGTGAAGCTCTGAACTTTTCATGGAGCATGTTTTGGTCCCCCCCAAAAGAGGATGGTGTAACAGGCTCCAAACTGATAGGTAGGAGAAGCTGTCAAGAAGTCTACAGGCTGAAGTCTACAGGTAGAAGTCTACAGGTAGACACAAAAACTAATAATTGTACACTATTAAACAGGGGTGCTGTACAGGGGGGGAAAGTTAGGACAATTCCAAGGGTCCTTGACAGACAGGGCGCCCCCACAATTTTTTTGTTTTTTTTGTTTATAGAAATAGAAAAACGTGGGGCCCTGTTAATTACAAAATTAAACATATTCGGTTTTTAAAACTTGTTTTTAGCAGTAAAAATTAAATGTTACCCCTCTTACACCAAAAAGCACACATCTGTATTTGCTCTGCATACCCCCCTGGGTCTATATGAAATGGTTTGTTCCTGCTTGGAGCGCTTGACAGTGACGGTGTTCAGCCAGCAGTCAGTAGAAGACAAGAACAACTGGAGCAGTTACTGGGCAGCCTAAAAAAACAATAAAGTCAGATTTTCAAAAAGAAAGAGAGAAAAAGATAAGAGTGTCAATTTGTAACAGTTTTTCTCCAAGATAGTTGGATAGACTGTGTGAGATTGTCCTGTTTGTGGCAGGAACGTTGCATTACTTTATCTAGCAATAGCAGCTCAGGGAGGAGGTGGAGGAGATTGATATTTTCACAGATTATCTGTCTCACAACAAACTGTCACAACATGGTGACAACTTTAACAAATATAGAGAAAACATTTTTTATTACAGTTCTATACTGCAGCTTTAATGAAATGCAACTTCATAGCATTTTTTGAGAAGTCTTGATTGCTTTATTTATATTTTGCATGTTGTCTATGACTGTTGCTGTGGGGAGAGACATTTCAGTAAGCTAAAACTAATTTTTAAAAAAGCAACCTATTTGCATACAGTATGCAGACTGTTGCATGTAAAATTCACTAGCAGTAAATATTGTGCTAGCATCCAAAGAAAGCAAGACAGTTGCAAGCCTTTAAAATTTGATGCCTTTTATGGGTCAAATGGACAGCAGTGGGGCCCCAATTTATTTATTTTTTGTCAGGGGTCCAAGATTCCTGGCGACGCCCCTGCTCTTAAAATCTGGCCTTTATAGAAAAGTCTAAGAAGCCCAGTCTAATGTTTGCCACAAGTCATGTAGGCGACAAGTTGAGACCAAACCTTTGGCCAGAAAAACTTAACGTTTGAAGTAAACACACTATGCCCCTAGTGTAACATGGTGGTGAGAGCATCATGTTATGTATGGGGAGGCTTTTCTTCAGCAGGAGCACGTAAAGATGGATAGAATTAAAAATAAGAGAGTCCTTAAAGAAAATCTGTTGGTCTGCAAAAGACATGAAATTAATTTGGAAAAGTTATATTTCCTTCCAGTTCACAAATCTTTTTTATTATTATTATTATTATTATTATTAATCTGTCATGACAGATTAATAAGAATTAGGGCTGAAACGATTCTTCGAGTGATTCGAGTACCTTGATTATTAAAATTCCTCGAGGAAAATTTATCTGCTTCAAGGCTTCGTTAAATTATATTTTATTTTTTAGCACACTGTGTTCCGGCCGGGTTATTACTTGCGTTGAGCGGAGCTCTCACTTCCACCTGAGTTGTTGACGGAAGCTAAGTGTTAGCAGCATAACGTCCAGTTTTCAAGTTCGACCTGGGAGGATTATATTGATTGTTGATAGTGTCCAGGTTTTTGTCGTTTTTCGGGGGACCAATAAGCATCCTT